TTTCTACCATAATTCAATCCACATTCCTATCTTAGTATCACCTCGTTTATTATAAGATCCACCACCACTAAAATAATTTCATTTCTCTTTAAATTACATTTAGGTATTCATAATCCTGTCATTATACATAATATTCCATCTAGCAATCTTTTTGCCATTCATATTGTACTCACCATTATAAGTAACTTGTTAATTCTCCTTAAAATTATCGCTAGGCTCAATCCATTAACCAACTTTTTAACCTCCTTCTTTCTCATATAAACCACCACCACTAATATAGTATAAACTATTTTTACACTTATTAAAATTTATTATTCTTTTTAAACATAATATCCCATCTACCAAACTTTTTACCATTCTAATTATATTAACCATTAAAAGTGATTTAAGAATACATGTTAAAGGAATCATTTAATCAATCCATTTTCCAATTTTCAATCCTTATTGATCATCATATGAACCACCACCACTAACTTAATCTAAAGTATTTTTACATTTATTCAAATTAATCTTTATTTCTAAGCATAATATTCCATATACCAATCTTATTGCCTTTTAAATTATATTCACCATTATAAATGATTTATGAATACATATTAAAAGAATTACTTAATTCAACCCAATTTCCAATCTTTAATCCTTCTTTTTAATCATATAGTCTACCTCCTCTAATATAATTAGAATATTGTTACAATAATTATTATTAATCATTCCTTATATATTTGATGTCCCATATATTAACCTTTTGTCCTTACATATTATACTGTCCATTATAGGTTATTTGTGAACCATCCAAGAATCTATCACTCAATTCAATCCATTTTCCATTTTTCTAACCTAAATTATTGTAAGATCCACCTCCACTTAAATTTAATCAAGAAGAATACATGCAATTATTTTTATAGATATATTCCCAAAATCCAATTCTCCTATCATTTAAGTATTCCCCTAATTCATATACTTTAACTCTGCTTTTTTGAATTCTATAATATAAATATACCTCCAATAATTTGTAATTAATTCAATCCATAAACCGTGTTTTTATCCTTCATTAAAGTATCCACCTACATCAATTAATATTTCTCCATCCCATGACGCTATCCACTTACTATTTTTTTTCATATTGTCTCCTTATATGTCTTCCCTCTTTAGATTTTTTATTTGTTCAATATTCTTAACAATTTGTTCATTTATACTCATATCACTAATTTATTCCCTTTTTATAATATTATTAAAAATTACACTCTCAACAAATCCCCATCTTATGAATAAATTATTTTATGGTTTTGCTTAAATAAAATTTAGATATTCGTTTTCATTATCTTAAATTCTCTTTAATCCCAGTTATCTATCTCATATTCTTATATATCTTAATCATATATTTCTGAATCAAAGCAAGTTGTTTCTTTTTAAGTATAATTATTCATCAATTAAAAATATTATGAATTAAGATTAAAATTTTAATTGTAAAAGAGCATTTATCCATATTATTTGTCTCTTTTCATCAAAAGTTAGTGGATCTATAACTTGCTATATTTATTGATTTTATTTTGAATATTTGAAATATTGAGACTCAATAATTAAAACCTGCAGTATAATCTTTTCTTAAATTTTTTAATCAATGTTACAGAGGAAAGTTTTTTCAGTTCTATTTCAAAAACAAAAATTTGTTAAGTGATGTTAGAGATATAAGAATTGTAACTATATTTTAAAAGAAGATCAAAAATACTATTTTTATTTAATTTATCAATAGATGAAAGACTTTTAATAATCACAACAGTTATTTGCAATTTTTAGTTCATTAAATTAATTTATATTTATCGTTTTAGCTATTTCAAAATTAAACATGAATATCAGAATTTAAAATAATGGTATAAAAAGATAAGAAGAAATCCTGCCTCGCTTATATACTCTTATAATGATTACAAAAGAATATATTCATTAATATAAAAAAAATATTAATGTGTATTACTTTTTTTTCAACTTTAGAGATCATTCTCTGTAGTTTAAAATTATTCTAAATTTAGAAAACCCATAAACCTATAATCTTTTCTCTTTACTTTAATTTTTACAATTGCAATTTTTACAATTGCAATTTAATTTATATTATTATTTTTTCAATTAGATTTGAAATAGGGGAATCACATCAATTCAACTGTAAATTTAAATAATAATTTTTTTACTTAATTTAAGAGAATAACATAAAGTAATAATTATCTAAAATTAACTACAATATTTTTTTATTAGTTGTGAATTTATGTATATTTAATTCAATGATAATCTAAATAATTTTTAACAATGAATCAGATATTCTAATTTGATTTTTTATATGAAGATTCAAAAGTAACATTTTTAAATTTGTACTATAAACTTCTAAATAATCTTATAAAATAGCAACCTATAATTTATCAAATTTTATTAAGTAAATTTCAGTAAATTCAAATATTTCTAAATTCATGATTTTTCTTATAATTTTCCCATTAAGCAAACAAAATTAATAGATAAAAGAATGGATTTATTTTTATTCACTATTTAGTATGTTAATTTGTTGTTATTGCTAATACACCTTTCTTTTTTAGAATTATCAGGTAAATTTGTAAGGTTCTTTTTAATTTACAATGATTTTCCATTTTTACATTAAACGATA